CTGTTTTAGGCAGTGATCGTTTTCATGCTGTGCTGTGTTTTGTGGACTGTTGTTCGTCTCTTGGACTTTAATTTTATTTTGTTCATGGTTTTAATTAAGTTTATTTGATTCATGGTTTGGGATGGTGATCGTCCCTTTGGTATTATTTCACTTTAAGGATATTAACTTGCAGTAATGAAAATCGGCAAAAAAATCGCATCAAAGTAAAGTGAAGAAGATTAACGCTATAAGACAAATATCCGCGAAAATAACTTAATTTGCTCACGGTGATATATATATAGAACCAAATCGTTAACTACAATGATCTATGCTCATCTCTTTTGTCGTAAAACTTGTTCTCAACCAACCCTCATCGTCGATGTCAAGATAAGTGGTAGAGTAAACTATATCTGTTGAGTCTTTTTTTTTTAATTTCAATGGAAAATACGAGTCCAACATTGTGACAAATTTGGCACTATACAGCGAGATGACATCATCTATATAGTGGAAAGTGAAGTTTCAAGATAATGGTAGCTTCTTTTCAGTCGTCATCAGAAGCTCTTGCATGAAGTCATCCTCGTATGAAAAATGAACTAGTCATTCAAGCTATTCAGAAAGTCTAGTTGTAACTAGAATCGTTGCGTATTAATGGATTTTTTCTTCAAAATTATTCTTATTTGATGAATTAATGCATTTAAACAATGAACAACTCAATTTAAGCAATCAAGAAGTCAAGTTTTATAATGTGTTTACTGGTTTTTAAATTCTTTTATATTTCAATTTTCATCAATTTATTTTTTATTTATTTTTGTCTAAATTTTTTATTTATTTTTTATGGTTCACATTAAATAAATAATAGGTCTTTTCACTACATCAATATTTATAATGAAGCTACAAATCAAACAATTAGAAAAGTCAAAAGATGTTTATTTCAGTCTGGTAGTTACAATGCAGATTGCAATCTCTTAGTTTCGCCCCCTTTATTTCAAGCAATAGTATGATTCGCACACATATTCTTTTACTTTAATTTTTTTAGATTCTTAAGAATTTGTTTATTAAATCTTATATTGACCACATACAATGTTTAAATAGGAAGAAATGCTTAAAAGCTGTTTTTTTCGCAGATGGCGGTATTTTGGGCAACTGCATGAGTTGTTATGATTTGCTGTTTGATTAGAAGTAAGCATAATTTTAGGAATTTTATGATGTCAAAAACTTCTTTGATAGTTATTACAAGGTTTTACTTAGTTTTAAGTGATTAGCAGTTGCATCAGAAAGAAAAATTTGGGTTTTCACACATTTTGTTAACTTTTACTCGAATTTCAGGAAACATGTGCTGTCTATCAAAAACACGTTTTAAATATTTTAAAATGCATTTGATTAATGACCGTTAATCTCTCTGTTAAAAGTTTAAATGGTTTGGATATGTGAATTTAGTATATAAAAGTCATATTATGCAATCAAGCTGAAATCTTAGAAAATATGCACTTATTCGTCCTTGGCCTTTGATCTTGATTTGACGGAAATTGCACCGTACGATTTTTTACGACCGGGCAAAACAGATAGTACAGATGTGTAGCTTTCAAATGATATATAATTTAGCCGTGTGTTAGGTGGGTGCATTAAAAATTTAATTTTATGGTTAAAGTCACTCGCCTAATTTGATGATATCAATTTATTTCTGCTCGCTTTAAATAACGGCCTGAACGTCATGACTTTGCAAAGTTGTGGATGATATATGTGTGTTTGTAAAAACATAAGATGTTTATCATCACATAAGACATGCGGAAGTTACCAAATGGATTTTTAAATTCAAAAGTCGAAGAAAAACAAAAACAAAAACAAGATTCTTCCAAATAAGTTCAAGCACATAGTAATACGTCGAAAATATTTGACACCACATACGTGTTAGTCGAAACAAACTTATAACGCCATGAGAAAAAACGAAAAACGACGAAAAGGCAAACAGCAATCTACCAAACACAACATAGAAAAACCAAAGACTGAACAACACGGACACCACAAAAAAAAACCAAACAAAAACAAAAAGATTCTTCCAGATAGATTCCAACAAATAGTATAATTTAGAAACTATTTGAAGTTCTGTCTTTGTATTTATCGGTTGGATTGAGATGATAATGTTTTTATGTTTCGTATTTGATCAATAACTTATCATTGTTCATTTTCCGTTTTTTTATTTTGAAGTTCAAAAACTACAAATCTTAGAAATATTTGACAACACAATACTACAAAAATAGTAATCTATCAAAAGTTTGTTCATTGTCGTCGAATTAACATAGACAAAGAAAGTTGGACAGGCGAACACAAACATTGATTAGTTGATAATGTTTACAAAAAAGGCGCAAAAACACTTAAAAGAATAAAAATAATTTGTATTGTATATGATAAATCTACTTGTCTGGACAAACTAAGTAAACTGTTATTTCAACGCCCAGTATTAAAAGAATTGTAGATTTTGTTTTGAAAAGATACCAAAAGGACATGCAAGTTTAGTTTAAACAATATTTTTATTTTTACTATAGGTGTGACTATATCATTTCTACCAGAATTTTCGGAGTCCACCTCCATAGTGACGGACATTTCTGCAACACCATGTTATATATATGAAACATTGAATGTAACTAACATATACAATAGTACAGAAATGATAATTCTTAATGTAACCGATGTGTTCAATGTAACTGAAATTATAAATGTAACCGAAACTGTTAATGTAACGGAAATTATGATAATAACAAGTGTTTCAGTAGAGCATTTAGCAACAACATTGACTGATAATTTCAGTACACTGTTTATAGTTACTTCCACCATAAATGTTACTGAAATATACAACGAGACTGAAGTTTACAATATAACTGAAACTCATAATTTTACATCCACTGTTTATACAACACGATGCTCAGGGAACAATTCTCTATCTTATCTGTCCACAGATGATCCGTTACTGCTAGAAGCCATCGCAAGTATGTCCAGGGAACTGACAGTTGATAAAAAGAAAACAAGTTCAAACATTAGAAAACTGACCAGTGCGTCAGACAATCGTCCGTCTGCTCGTACCATTGGGTTATCAGGATTGGCATTATTAATAATACCATTATCACTAATACTGCTGTGTGACATACTGAAGGTTTTGCGTGGTACCGCATTAATGTTTGATCGGTGTCGTAGAAATCCCGATAATAAGTTTTAATATAGAAAAACACACAAGCGACATAAAATATACATTATACTTCAGAAGTGAATTATGATAAATTGTATGCGTAAGGGAATGCAAGTGGTCTTTCTTCTTACGGATCATCGGACTATAAAGTCTATGGTCCGGACTACTAACGTAAAGACCAAGTATACCATTACATATGTAAGAACAAAGTTCTTTGAAAGATACAAGTATTCAGTTTAGCACAACAACAAGATCATTCATTTGCAGGTAAAATTCTGAAGTGTCGTTACATCATTTATGACGTCTTTATCTCGATGTCGAGGAAAAATCAAATTATCCAAAATCAATCGTAATATTTATTCAGTTAACAAATATATATATCTGCTGCGTAGATTTCACCATTATATTCAATAATGAAACATTTATTATGTTGTACTGTAACATGCTGTTTTTATATTTTTTGTAAGTGTGGTTCATAATGAAAAAGGATAGGGACATTTTAACTATTTCAACTAGAATTTCACTTTTCTGTCGGGTATCATTAGTCATTGTCATAGAGATCTGGAATCAATGAATTAGAGCTGTACTATTTGTTTTCAAACTGCGCCAGTTCTCATTTTAATTGTTCTCTCTCTCTTATGATTCAAGCATATTTGAATATGACTCTTGAAATCTTTCATGTACTAAACTGGCAGTAAAAGTCAATATTATATTTCAAATTTCAACTTTAAAGGATAAATGAATTTCAGCACAACCTACAAATCATGCAAATGGTGATTTATGGGTTGAGAGCCTACACATATCTATGTTTAATTTATAGTTCAGAATGATGTTTACTTTAACCCGTGGTTATAAGGTTATAAAAATATGAAAAAGTATGAAAAGGGCGATAACTCAATAATCGGCAGTACATTCCATTGTAAATTATTAATTCAATTGACTTTCGCGATCAAACAGTATTGGAAACATAATTAATCGTTTCAAGATGTACACAATTAAGTTAGTAAAATATCAAAATTCTAATACGTGTAACATTTTGTCGCGTAAATCACATTTTTCCTAAAATAAATGATGAATATATGAAGGCTACTTAAAAAAATGAACCTAGCAGAACCCACGGTACGTAAGTATGTGTTTTATGCCTATTTTGAAACCCTACTGTCCTTTATCACAAAACAACAGTTTCGACCGATAAGAAACAGCAGTTATGATTTTTGAAATTAACTGAAATCACCAAAAAGTATTGCCCGGACAATGTTAAAACACACGTTGGCCTTGACGTTGCTGAGTACCAAATTCAGTTTTTAATCTTATTTAAGGAATGACTGTAATATTTTTTCTGTCTATGAAGAAATAACATCAAAAATGTGGTGCACACTGAATAACCCGCGTGGCGGATTATTTTAAAGTGTGCACCACATTTTTTTTGTTATTTCGAATAGACAGAAAAAATATTACAGTCATTACTTATAATTTAATTCTTAATTCCATTTTAACCCGGAGTAAATCATGAAAAAACGTTGATGACATCAAGATCACATGACAAAATTATGTCTATGAGCTGATAAACAAAACAACGTCAGCCAATCGGAAGACGCGTTACATCCAAAATTAAATTATAATGGCATATATTTGGACAATATGAAACACTTTATAATGTACCTTATATTTGATTTTGGGTATGTAATGCATAAAAATGACGTTCGCAATATATATAAAAATTTAATGCCATAACTATTGATTGTCTTTAGGTTTATTGTTTAAAAAAATCGTGATCGATTGTAAATGTCTGTATGAATAATACAGATACACCTGGACAGACAGTAACGAACAATTGAAATACTTTTTGCTGCAATATTCCCGGTGTAACATATCCATGTGTATAGGTTGAAAAATGTTTCCTAGAATTTCTATCATTTGTATATTGTACATTTTGAAAAGGATTTCAGCGTCTGGTATTGGATTTGACAAACAAACTTTTACATTAGAGAAGGAGAAAATCGTGATACATAACCCGTATACAACTCAATTACAAGAAGAGCGGTCACTGTTTACATGTGCTAGAATGTGTATGGCAATGACAAAGTGTTGTGTTTCTAATTACAATGTTTCATCAAATATTTGTGCTTTCGACACGTCAGGTTGTTGTTATAGTAAAACTATGACTTCTGTCGGATCTGTGCTTATTAGAAAGGTATCTGTAGGTAAGAATAATTGATTAATGCCAGCAAGTCAATTTGGTAACGTTGACAAGTTCTAATCTTTACACACCACACAATCTTATCAAATTGAAAGAACAAAAATAAATTGAATAGTTATTTATAAGTCTAAGTAAATGCTGTCGAGTTTTTGTCGTTACGAATCCTATATAAAAGTAAGAAATAACACTTGCAAAAAATCCCCCCTAAATTAGACATACAAGGGCACCAATTCAAATGATTAAAGGCTTTAATAGTATGCACCATGATATAAATGTATAAGATTAATCAATTCTGCTGTGTCTTCTCATATACCAGTTTAGTCTTCAGATCTGTAATTTTAATGATTGCGTCCTATTCCCGATTGCGACATTTCAACTGAGTATCAATTCGCATGGCGGATAAAGCAAAAATAGCAGGAGACTCTTACGCTGTAGACGCAACCGGTCATCCGGTTCTCTCAGATTTTGTTTGTTGCCTTGATTTGTCTCTTACCGATCGATTTGCGAGATTTGAACATCGGCAAACTTCTGTCGCCTTTATAATTTAAAGCAGTTTTTTCCTTGGTTATTCATAATTTAAATTTTAAAAATCTGAATATGTACATCAGTGTCGTGGATCCTATTGAAGTATACTCTAATTAAATCCAATGTTCGTCATTTCAATACCAAGTAATATTTTAAATTTATCATTTCTCGATGGTTCTGTTCCAGCGACTTTAAGTTATAGACCAAAAGGACTCTATTGATTCGCTATGCAAATGTTTTAAGCACTCTTAGAACAAAGATTTACAGGAAATCACCACTAAACTAGCCATTGATACATGTATTCTTCTCTGTATTACAGACCAGGAAATCACCACTAAACTAGCCATTCATATTCTTCTCTGTATTACAGACCAGGAAATCACCACTAAACTAGCCATTGATATTCTTCTCTGTATTACAGACCAGGAAAACAGAAATTCAAAAATAAGTCAAAACTGTAACTAAAATGTCAGAATGTTTTATGTTCAATAAAATAGTATTTACGAATTAACCGAATTAAAAAAGAGGAACGCCATAAAAACTGAAATAATCAAACATTAGACTATATCAACCAACCGAACGAATGGAAACTGTACGAACGTTTTGTTTTATTGTATAAGCGAATCAAAACATGTAGAAATGATGTTTTAAGTCGTACAAACGAACTATTAAAAAAATCACTATTTCAAAATAACACGAATACTGTGTATAAATAAAAAAAAAAGATGTGGTATAATTCCAAATGCAAACTCTCCACCAGAGACAAAATGACATAGAAGTTAATAACTATAGGTCACCGTACGGCCTTCAACAATGAGGAAAAACCATACCGCATAGTCAGCCATAAAAAGGCCTCGAAATGACAAAATTTATGTAAAACAATTCCAACGAGAAAACTAACGGCCTGATTTATGTACAAAATAATGAACGAAAAACAAATTTGATATACAGCAACAAACGACAACCACTGAACTACAGGCACTTGACTTGAAACAAGCACATACAGAATGTGACGGGGTTAAACTAGTTTGAAGGTGCCAACCCTCCCCCTAATCTTGGACAGCGGTGTAACGGCATAGCACAAGAACAAATTAAAATAACACTAAACGAAAAACAACTGCAATAAACGACAACCACTCAATTACAGGCTCCTGATTTGGATAGGCACATATAGAATGTGGCGGGGTTACACTAGTTTGAAGGCGCAAACCCTCCCCTAACTTAGGACAGTGGTGTAACAGTACAACATAAGAACAAACTATAAAAATCAGTTGAAAAGGGCTTAACTCATCAGATCGATACAAAGCAGAAATACATCTAACAAAAACACAGACCGGACGTGGCAGGGTACTTATATCTACATCCTCACAACAAAAAAGACACTAAGTACAGATCTGAGAGTATTCGCAGTTACTGCAGTACTCGCTGTTGTGTGGTCATATTGTGATTACTTTTGATAAAAAAGAAAAACAAATCATTACCAGAACTTTATATCGTCTTCATTTTGTTAATAACATTATCCAATACATTTCTTTTGGATAGAAGTGTGACAACAATTAGTCTCTTGCTCAATTATTAGCTCACCGGGCCCGAAGAGCCCCATGTGAGCTTATGCCATCACTTGGCGTCCGTCATCGTCCGTCGTCTGTCGTCTGTCGTCGTTGTCGTCGTCGACGTCGTAAACTATTTCAAGAATCTTCTCCTCTGAAACTACTGGGCCAAATACCTTCAAACTTTAACTGAATGTTCCAGGGAACCTAGGGTATTTTGTTTATAATTTGTATCCGAACTTTTGATCCATCAACAAACATGGCCGCCATGGCTAAAAATAGAACATAGGTATCAAATGCAGTTTTTGGCTTTTATCTCACAAACTATAGCAGTTAGAGCAAAAGTGACAGAGTTAAAGTGATGAATAGGTCAAGATCTATCTGCTATGGCCTTTTCAGACCAATTGGACCACCCGAAATAGTTTATTTTTTATGACTTTTACTGCTTTTGGTTATTATCTTTAATATTGTAATAGATAGAGAGAAAAACAAAATGGCAAAAGTGTTCAGCTAAGTAGGATCTACAAATAAGTCAAATGATCAAAATAGTCAATTGACTCCTTAACAAGTTATTGCCCTTGAAACGTTTATTTTATTTTACATTTTTTCGTGCAATTCTATTACTTTTTCAAAAATCTTCTTCTCTGAAACTACTGGGCCAAATACTGCCAAACTTTAACTGAATGTTCTTTAGGTATCTAGTTTATAAATTGTATCTGAAATTTTGATCCATCAACAAACATGGCCGCCATGGCTAAAAAAAAGCAGGTTTTAGTTGATATCTCAAAAACTACAGCAGTTAGAGCAAAAGTGGAAGGGAGTTAAAGTAATAAATGGGTCGGGATCTATCTATTATGAAATTTTCAGACAAGTTCGACAACCAATTGTTGGGTTACTGTTGGAAATAGTTTTTTTTTATTAAATTTTACTGTTTTTGGTTATTTCTTTTATATTATAATAGATAGAGAGAAAGTATAAATGGCAATAAATGTTCAGCTAAGGAAGATCTACAAAAAGTCAAACTTAATCAAAATAGTCAATTCACCCCTTAAGGAGTTATTGCCCTTAAAACGTTTTTTTTTTTACAATTTTTGTGAAAGTCAAATTACTTTTTCAAAAATCTTCTCTGAAACTACTTGTCCAAATACTTAAAAACTTTAATTGAATGTTCCTTAGGGTATTTAGTTTATTGATTGTATTCGCGGACTTGATCCATTCAAAAACATTGCGGCAGTTTCTAAAAATAGAACATAGGGGTCAAATGAAGTTTTTGGCTTTCATCTCAAAAACTAAAGCAGTAAGAGCAAAACTGACAAAGGTGAAAGTGTTAGACAGGTTTAGATCTACCTGTCAAGTAATCTTCAGACCAATAAGACAACTTATTGTTGGGTTACTGTCCAGATATAGTTAATTTTTAGGAAATTTTACAGTTTTGGGTTATGTATTATCTTTAATATTATTATAGAAAGAGAGAAAATGTAAATGACAAAATTGTTCAGCAAAGTAAGATCTACAAATAAGTCAAATGCTTGAAACTGAAATTACAGGCTAGCGATATCAGGCTCTCATGAGCCTCTTGTTTGATAAAGGCCTTTTTATTTCCAATTTCGTAAGTTTGTTGTCTAATTTCAAATACAGGAGCCTCTAGCCTTTGTTAGTCTTGTATTATTTTTAATTTTAGTTTCTTGTGTACAATTTGGAGTTTAGTATGGCGTTCATTATCACTGAACTAGTATATATATTTGTTTAGGGGCCAGCTGAAGGACGCCTCCGGGTGCGGGAATTTCTCGCTGCATTGAAGACCTGTTGGTGACCTTCTGCTGTTGTCTGTTCTATGGTCGGGTTGTTGTCTCTTTGACACATTCCCCATTTCCATTCTCAATTTTATTATAAATTTATATTTATTGTATGGTAGTATCATCATTTGGCGGGAATGCTAAACATTGAAGCATTACACCTAGAAACAAGCATCCTTTTTACACTTGCACTCTGACTAAGCTATACTTACACATGATTTGATGACAAATTATGTTTATATTGTCAATTGACAACAAACAAACGTTTTTGGTAGGGATTACGCTTATGCGGAAAATTTACAAACCATTATAAGAAAACATTGGCATGTTAGTCAGGACAACCTACAGTTCCAAAATCTATTTGATAAAAAACCTACAATAGTATTCAAAAGAAACAGGAACATTTGAGAGATCGTTAAGAAACACTTAATTATATCAATGTCGCCTAATATAAATCAATTGGGCAGTAAACATAAAACTAAAGGATGTTACGCTGACAATACGAAATGCGTACTGAATCCTATATCAAACATACTTAAATTATAAAAATTAGTAATCCATACCAAAACTAACATTAAGAATGGTAAAACACTTAGATGAAACATACAGTAATAGATAACAAAATAAATGGGGAATGTGTCCATGGGACAAAGAACATGCCCCCGCTTGAATATCATATTAAGTTATAAAGGGACATAACTGAAGAACGGTTAATGTGACGCTACCCAAAATTGTACTTGATCTGAGTTTTGTGGTAATAAGTATTGTGTATAAGTTACATAACATTTGGTTGAGGCAAACTTAAGTTAAAGAACGGAAACGAAAAATTCAGCAATTTTTCCATTTGTAAAGGGGCATAACTCTAGAACAGTAAAAGTGACGCCACCAAAATTCAAATTTGATCTGTATTTTGTGGTAATAAGCATCGTGTATAAGTTTCATAACATTTGGTTCATGTAAACTCAAGTTGGAGAACGGAAACGAAAAATTCAGCATTTTTTCCATTTGTAAACGGCTATAACTCTGAGACTGTTAAAGTGACACCACGAAAATTCAAACTTGATCTGTATTATGTGATAATAAGCATTGTGTATAAGTTTCATATTATTTGGTTGAGACAAACTAAAGTTATAGAACGGAAACTAAAAATTCAGCATTTTTTCCATTTATAAAGGGGCATAAGTCTAGAACGGTTAAAGTGACGCCACCATAATTCAAACTTGATCTGTGTTTTGTGGTAATAAACATTGTGTAAAAGTTTCATAACATTTGGTAGAGGCAAACTAAAGTTAGAGAACGGAAACCACTTTGGGACGTACGGAGGGACGTACAGACGGACAAGGGTAAAACTTAATGCCCCCTCTGCTACCGCGCGGCATAAAAAAACCCAAATTACAATGTAATAAATAAAGAAAGACCTACGAAAAGAGTTACCTGGAATATTATTCCGAAAGAACTCGAAACATTGTACAAGTATCACGTAATCAATGTAAGGTCTGAAATGTGTACCATACTACGAACGGGTGGATATTAGATTAATATACTTTAAACAAAACAATATATGCCTAGGGAATTCTGTATTGAAATATTAGTACATGTTTCTTTTAGGATTAATTGTTATCAAAACGCAATGAATTATTCTTTAAATGATTTTCGTAAATTAGTTTTGAATATTATATTAGCAAACGCATATTTGTAATTAAAAATAACATATAACATCCAAATCAATAAGCACATACACATAATGATAACAAGGCTGAGTTAAGTGTTTTTTACGATTCGTTCCTAATAGTAACATGACATCTGATATCTTGTAAATAAAAGAAATATGAAAATTTATATCAAAGCATGTTTATACCGTGGCTTAAAATATTCCAACTACTATCGGTAGAATATCTGAATATGATTCCTAATTCCGTTAGATTTTTTATCCACACATAGATAAAGGACTGGATGGGGTTTACAGATTAGAGAAAAATGATCGAAAAAAAAGTGGAGACAATACATAAAGAATCAAAATTTAGTGGGGCTAAAATACCAAGAATCGAAAATAATAGGTAAACAAATGCAGATTAAAGAAAAATGATTAAAAAATTAAAGAAGAAAAAAATGAAAATACCCTTATCCATACTCTCATAGTTAAACAATTAAAAGCTCGCATCTACAGCCGAGTCTGTCAAATTAGCTTCAATTTGCTATTAGACATTTTCGGAAAGTCGTCTTCACAGACACTCACACCGACACTGATACCTACACTGACTAAAAATATAGAGGGACCGTATCAAAATGTTGGAACATACTGAATGAATGACCTCGTAAAACTTGGTTGCAGAGTTAAAAAATGTATTTTGTAATTTTTCTTATATAATTTTTTATTTGGAATGGGAGCTAGATACACAGAATGCTCTCATTAGTTTAGGATTATTTTAAATAATGAATTTGTGATATTCCATCTTGTTTTTTTTAATTGCCTCCGTTTGTACATGTAACCATTCAAACGAAATACAGTGTTGCAGTAGAATATACAATTGGCGAATTGAATTGATAGAAAGCATTCGGAACACTGAGGAGAATCCAATGAACAAAATATCTGCCATTAGTTAGATATGTGCAGGCTTGGTTTATCGTCGAAGTCAGCTGTTCTCCTAAATAAAGTATCATATTTCTTATGAAGCAAGCGTAAATGTGTACGATATGGATGGTTCGGTGAATCAAGTAGAAAATATTCATTTCAAAATAAAAAAATTTGTAGTGTACAATTCCACAAAGAAAAAATGCCAAAGGTAAAATAAGAAAAATGCCCAAAAAATAAAATTTGCAAAAAAAAACTAAAATTAGAAATAAAATTTTGACAAAATTAAAAGGTAAAAAAAAAAAATATATTATATTTATAATAAAGTTATATTTGACAACGCGCAGCAACATCGGTCTTGAAATGTAAAGTGGAAGTTCTTCATAATTTTTTTTCAATTTTAAACCCAAGAATAAAAATTAGAGAAGGATTGTTTCATAAGAAATTAATTCGTTTTCTTGGTGTAATATCAGGGGTGTACGTGTTTTACAATGCATTTTCAACACCGATGTAAAATTCAATTCACCCATAATTACACGAAGATAACGAATAATATCATCTATATATGTATACGTTATGTTACACGCTTTCAAATGCTTAACACGTTCCTGTTTCTGACTAAAATTCTACTAATCTATACAAAGACCCCCCCCCCCCCCCTTTTTTTTTAAAAGTATGTTTATGCAGACAAACAACAGTACACGAAACAACATAGAAAACCATCACCACTGATGAGTCTTATGAAAACGAAACATACGTCTAGCGAATCAGATTAAAAGCATTTTTGTTTTTTATATATACAATCATGTATGAAATGCATTATATCCTTGAGCGAAAGAGAGTTTGACGTTTTGGTGTTTGGTATTATCACTCAACTATGGTTGGAAGTCGTATATTCATTATTAAGGCTTTTTGAGTTATCGGTGCGCTTTAATTGGTTTATTTTAATCTTTGTTTGAATGCTTACTAATTGACGTATACTGCATATGATAATAGATGTGGTATGATTGAAAATGAGACAACTACCCAACAGAGTTTAAATGAAGTGGATATAAGTAATTATAGGCCACCTATGGCCGTCAACAATGAGAAAAAAAATACCGCATTGTCGGCTATAAAAGGCCCTGACAAAAAAATGGGAAACAATTCAAACGAGAAAACTAGCGGTCTAATTTATAACAAAACAATTGTTAGATATATATTAATGAAAGATTCTCCTTTTTCCATGGGACGATTGCATAATATTTTGTCTATTCATTTCTAGAATAATTTAAAAGCGTCTTATGAAAAACAAAATAAACAAAACAACAGGATTTACTATAAAAAAAATCTCCAAAAATCGATACATGTATAACTTATGCCAAATCAAGATATTTAAAAACAACAGACAATAATTGTTTAAATCAATTTTTCAATTTCGGGAAAAATTTCAGTACCTTAGGACTTTATAAAAAGAAGACTAAAGAAACCAAATTAAGAACCATTAAAAAATCAAAAGGCCAATATCAACAGACAATAATACAATGTACAGTGGCAAAAAATACAACAACAACAACAACAACAACAACAAAACAACGAATCATTATTGACAAACAACAAATATAAAAAATCACATAGAAAACTAAAGTGTATGTTTTTAATAAAAAATAGTTTTTATATTGACAGAGGGTTGTCGATCTGGATGGAAAATCAACAACGGTGTTTATTATTACATCTCAACAGAATATAAAACTTGGGCAGAAGCGCAGGTAATGCATTATTTTAAAAGTTGCCAGGCTTTAAATTATTAGTGCTTGATCCTTTTACATTTTTAGAGCAGTTCGCCACTAAATAGTTTACATGCTAACGTGAATTTTACATATTACTTATTGACATCCACCAAGATGTCGGGCATTAAAATTACATTTTGTCTCAAATTTTTGAAAAAATAAATAATGCTCTTATTTTTTAAGAATTAAAAACAAAATTATTTACAGCCAAATTCATTTACGATCCGGTCCTCACATATTACAAAATAATGATGACGCAAGATAAAAGTTACACCTACTATGACCAGGACAGTAATGATCAATTAGAGCACTTGTCGTGACAAGTTTTTACTACAACATTTCCGAACAGGTTTAAATCAATCCAAGTCGGTTATTGACGAATGTTTTTGTTGGAACTAAAACAGAGAGTGGAAAATCGTCGACATATAAGAGGATGTTCCCTTTACAAAACATGTCTGCTCTTGGAAACATACAACTGTGACAAGTAAATAAAGGACTAAAACATTCTACTAGATGTTATCATTCTATATTTTGTAAGTATAGACTCTTGGTACAATCTATAAACATCAATGGACGTGATCTTTGTTTAAATTTTCTGTATTTTAATTTATCGCTCTATAAACGATTACAAGGCGCTACCTGCTTGCATGTAGTCAGTTAAAATTGCAACCGATAGAAGTCGATTCCGTGTGGTGGATACGAAAATCTGACAGAATCTGCAAATAAGGTAAAAAAGAGGGGACTGGAATATAACCGACTGCTAAAGAGGTATACTTGACATCCTAAACATATTTGTTACTGTAACGTATAATAATTTTATTGATGTATTAATTCAGCTTTTTTTACTTGATGTTATAGGTGTATTGTCGACAGAGAGCTGGTCACCTTGCAGAGATCAACGACAATGAGGAAAATAACTTTATAAAGTCAGTCATTTCAGCAGGAGGAGGTATGTAAAGGGTTGGTAGAACTCCCCCCTCCCCCACCCCCAAAAAAAATAAAATAAAAAAACATAAAATGCAAATAGACAGATAAATGTTGTTCAAAATATGATATCATATACATTAAAACTTCCTACTGAAATAATTCTATATGTTGTAAAGAGAATTGGTTGATTTTACCTATTTAGAATATTTTGCCTGTTTTGTTTTCAGCTACCCAGACAGAGACAATTCATAGTCCGGAATATAGCGTTTAGTTTAGTGTTTTTCGCTTTCAGTATTGCAGAACCAATTTAGATTTTGTTAAACCTCATTCCTTAATATGAGATAGTACCAAGGGCGAAATTAAAAAAGAAAAAAAGAAAATAGACAGACACCACTGTGACCAGATGAAAAATACAAACAGAGAGCAAAATATTGCACACAAAACTGAAGGTTGAGCCAGACAAAACCTTTTATAAATCAGGTGGTCTGGAAGGATCAACAGTTCCTACTCTTCTTCTGCAACCAGTCATGTGATGGGCGTACTTTGATCTATAATGGTTTACTTTTACAAATTGTGTCGTCTGTCGTCCGTAAAATTTCATCATCTTGGTACTTAGTTTCCATATCACCCTATGGAAATTAAAATTATATCCAATTTGCCGTTTCAGAATTTAATTCATTTTGGGAAATACTTCGAAGACAACACGTCGTGATTGGGAAACAAAGGCCTAAAGAATGAAAATCAACCAATGACGAGACGTTATTTTCATGATGGGGTACGGACAATGCAATTACTGATAGTCGTTTAGATTCTGAAACGGCGAATGATCTGGCTCTCTACTTGGCAAATTTTAAATCAAGTAGTTTATAAGGAATTATGGAAGGATTTCTTTTAAATAATCTTCTTTTTGTTGATAACAGATAAAAGCGATGCTGCCAGCGATAATCTTTGATTCTGACTGACCAATTATAAAAAGAAACCTGTCTTCTGAAGATTTAAGTTATAATTTATGGATACATTTTTAGGATTAACGAAATGAATACCTACAAACGATTGAAGTGGCAGTGGTGGAACAACACAAACATAGAAATCCTAAATGAAATCGCATTTTCATATTTTTAAAACTAAAATGAAAGGCATAACGACAATAAATTTAGTAACCTCGGGATTTTTTTTATTACGATTTAAATGTTTAAACAACATGTATTCAAATTATTTTAAAACATTACTGTGTTGAAAATTGTAAGAAACTCTACAAACAATCGTCAAACAAGTACATTGAATTCGTTTAGCGCACCAAAGTTTTATGCTTGTAGTAAATTAGAGTCAATTGTAGTTAACCGATGTCAAAATATCATAAATCCTTTTATGATACAAAAAATTAAGGTAAAAACAAAATCGGAGGGAAATGTATGATCCCCAAAACATCGAGACTAGTTGCGTCGACAACATGAATAAGAGTCTCCTGATAGGCACGAATATCCTTACATGCGTATGCACCACATTTAGTAAAAATGTCACAATAAGGTTTATAGATTAGACGACTAGTCTAGTATCTAACGATAAAGACGGCTAAATATGTTGATATGCAGATACAGACACGTCGTATTGGTCAACCAATTCATCATGGTGACGTACAAGTTGTGTAGTGTCGATTACATTTATTCTTCCTCAGATCTCTGTTGAAGCAGTTTTTGTGTATTTATGAACACACACCGTTTATAAAGTACGTAGTTTAAAACAAATAAAAGCGTTACGTATAAGCTTAGATTTGTAAACGCCATACGATGAGACAGTGTGTATCTACAATGTAGCTATAAAACCAGGTTTAATGCACCATTTTATACATATGGAAATGCCTGTACCAAGTCAGGAATATGACAGCTGTCTTCCATTCGTTCGATGTGTTTGAGCTTTTGGTTCTGCCATTTAATTAAAAACTTTCCGTTTGAATTTTCCTTGGAATTCGGGATTTTAGTTATTTTACTTTTTGCTACTGCTAAATAAATGGAAATAGAAAATTGGAAAGTTGAGAGCGTCACGCGTTAGTGTGTCATAGATTCAAGCATATGTAGACATTGTTTTCTTCGTTGTTGGTAGTGTTTGCTGTGGCCTGTTATATTTTCTGATATATATATATATATATTTTGTTCCTGTTATTTCTTTGATCTATCTTATTCTCACATCAATTAATTGAAAGTATAGTGAATATGTCATAGTGACCATGTCGATCACCTCTCCCTTATTGAACTTGCAACAGATGATACCAAAGATATGAGTCTGCTTTAGTTTTGAAATTTATTTTACGACAAGTCAGATGACACAGTAGTATACCGTGGCTCAATACTTATAAATCCATAAGACAAAAAGATTAGTTCATCTTACCCATTGTAAGCTTGTCATTTTTTATGTAGCGACATACCAATAAAGCCGAAATATGTAGTATATATCTCCCAAATTGATACGTAACTTTGTTTTGTCCATCATAATTTCTTTGATAGAGGGTTGCTGCCTACACGGTTCTTCTTCTAAAGTAAAAATAATCAGTGTAACAGGCGCCAACATGATTTGTTTGGCCGTTGTAGAATATTTGTGTCACATATTACCACGGAAATATTCCACGTGTATGTCGCAATCCTGTTCTTTTTTCCGTGATAGTTTCATCAGCGAATACGACTTTTCAACTTGAATTGCTATTTGCCTAGGAGTTAGATATTTTTGTTAATACTTTTTTGTCGTGTTTTTTACGTGTTGTTGTTCATCAAGGGAGATTCCTGGTATACGTTATGGAAATAGTAAATCAACGACAAGAATAATCTAGAAGCCAACATAAGTCATCACAAAGGGCAGGTGTATATATGATATCTCAATCTCCCCAAACTTTACAAGGTGTTGATGAATTAAAAGGAAACATGCAAAATTCTGTCATTAAAACCAAATTCAACAAATAACAAAACAAATGGCGATTTTCCTACCATATGACAAGCACGTGAATATGTGGCGGGGTTAAACAAGTTTTATTAGATCTCATTTCTCCCTGTTTTCAAAGTATGCTCGCAGTTACACAAGCTGTCTTTGTTTCGTCGACTTATAGTTTTTGTTTGCATTTTTGGTATCTTCTCTCATATAATATGTGTATCCTGCAATCAGCCAACTATTTTACAAATAACAGGTACACAGTCAAATAAAGTTTTGCTTTGTATGTACTTGTACAAATAAAGTCTCATGTTACCCGGCTTCTATGATGAGGAAGTGGTAATGTGAATTTTTCTTTTTTCGTAATATTTTATTTTGGAGTCTTTTTCGCGGTCTGCGTTTACAATCAGTCAATGTCGATTACTTTGAAAAATCAGAGACACCTATTTGGATATAAACAACTAAAACTTCAAGTGCCGGGTTTAAATTGCAGGATAAAACAATAAATGTATATTGTCGGAAATATAGAATTTATCTCGTCGAGCCTCGCTTAACGATCTGTTTCTAAACCTCGTACAAATAAATTTTATATTTTCAGCCATAGATATAAGAAGATGTGGTATGAGTGCCAATGAGACAACTCTCCATCCAAGTCACAAATTGTAAATAAAAGTAAACCATTATAAATCAAAGTACGGCCTTCAGCACGGAGCCTTGGCTCACACCGAACAGCAAGCTATAAAGGGCCCTACAAATGACTAGTGTAAATAAAGGCAACAGTAGTATACCGGTGTTCAAAAGTCATAAATCGATTGAGGGAAAACAAATCCGGGTTACAAACTAAAACCGAGGGAAACACATAGTGTAAAACCATTCAAACAGGAAAACCAACGGTCATGTATATATATTGTATCAATGTAATTCAGTTTAATAATTTGTGATTGAAATAACAGACATAACATGCATGTATATGTTTTCAGCAACAGGTCATGCTGTTTTTATTGGAGCTACCAATTCCTCGGCAGGTTGGATATGGGATGGCAATAGGTCTCCAGTAATTTATTTCGACTGGGAAAGTAGCCAACCAGGTGGAGGTGAACACTGTATTGCATTGCTTCAAAACGCATGGCACGACTATGGCTGCTATGAAGAACACGGTTTTATTTGTGAATCCCAAGTGTATTGATATGACAAAAAATACATTAGGAATTGATACATTAACGTAACTATTTATAGAATACTGTTGTGGGAGCATTGACTATGTATTGAATCGAGACTACTCTTTTGCATATAGTCAATGCTAAACGCATTATTCACATTATCATACTGACGTTCAATTTCTAACCAAACCCGTATAAATTTTTTTTCAAAATATCAATATATCAAGAAACCTAAAAAGTTTTTAATTTCTTCAATGGCTTAAAACGATATTTTTTTCTAAGCAGACGAAAATAATTTTGGTAATTTCATTTTTCATTTTACTTCGGATTTCTCTTTGTTCTGGATTTAATCCTTTCATAACTCGTTAAGAAGCTTAGATGCTTACAGCAGTTACACGATGAGCTCTGACTTAAATGATTATACTGTTGATTGACAGGTTGGACGTATACTATTAAGTATAGTTGAACTTGCTATCAGGCAACAATGCAATATGGAACTTTTTCTAATTCTTTTTTTTTTTACTCTTCCAAAAAAAATATGCCGTCCGTAGCAACAATGTATCTAAAAAAGATTCTAAAGGGATATAGGCACGAAAGAACATAGATTAAACTCTCTAAAACAAAACGAAGAACAAAAATTGTATCCCTTTCAGCAGCGCCTGTATACGGAGTATATATCTCCCAATTGATACGATATTCACGGGCTTGTGTTTCCTATCATGATTTCCTTGATAGATGATTGCTGCTCACAAGGAAGCTATTAAATTAAGAGTTCCAAATGGTGAAGTTGAAATCATCCCTTCGTAAATTTTACGGACGCCATCACGAGTTGGTTGACCGTTATGGAATAACCGTTTCATAGATGATATCGGATATGTTTCTTAGGTTCTAACTACAATACCCTTCCCTTTTCACGAATATGACTTACCGAATTAGACTATTTACCGGATTTGTAATAACATAAGCAACACGACGGGTGCCACATGTGGAGCAGGATCTGCTTACCCTTCCGGAGCACCTGAGATCACCCCAGTTTTTGGTGGGTTTCGTGTTGCTTAGTCTTTAGTTTTCTATGTTGTGTCATCTGAACTATTATTTGTCTGTTTGTCTTTTTTATTTTTGGCCATGGCGTTGTCAGTTTGTTTTCGATCTATGAGTTTAACTGTCCCTCTGGTATCTTTCGTCCTTCTTTTTCACCGAGAGAGATGGATCTGTTGCAAATAATCGTTGGATTATTGTAAAAAGCAAGGACATGTGATATGATTGCAAATGAGACAACTATCCACCAAAGTTCATATGAAGTGGGTGTAAGCAAATAGGGGCAAACGTATGGCCTTCAATAATGAGAAAAACCCATATCGTATAGTCAGGACCTAAGTGATCATTTTTCTAATCCCATGCCACCTTTGGAGGTAAATAATTTTAGAAAAGTTTGTTAAAAATCATTTCAGTACCGAATTACTGACTTCTGAGCTGATGAGAAACTCGGGGACTTATCCAATGTATTTGATAAATAATGAAATAAATAATCTGTTAGCTTTGATAATATCCTTTTGAAATAATAAAAAAAAAACGAAATGTGTATAATGATATTCGTATACCTCACAAATATACATTGTTAATTTTTATTCCTTTAATTTGTGATGGAATTGAAGCTATGATTGTGCTTTATTCCTGTGTGACTAAGCATAACATATGCTTAATCAGAACCTCTACACAATAGGAGCATTTGATCATTGTTCTTGATTTCCATTTCTAGAAAGATAAAACATTTTACTATCAAGGTACATAGAAAATAAAACATTTATGCTATATTTTCTGTTAAAAAAAACACATTTACCCTCTTTACAAACTATGTGTACGTACGTCTCAATCCAACATGTCTGAGCTAACACATATAGTGTTTACATCACGAAACATTTACTGTATGAAATTCATTTTGGTACACTAACATGAAGGTTTCTGAATACAAATGAATGATGCCTTTTATGAAATGTACGTGTTAATACAGCATTATCAAACAGGTTTAATGCATTGTTTCGTGCTTTGAAAAGGACTCTTTTGGACCTTTTCATTGTTTTTTAGACGTAAATGCACCTACATATTACATTTTAAGCCGTAGGAATTTTGTTTTTTTCACTCGATAAAACAAGGACGCACTCGAAAAAACACGGACTGCTCTCGAAAACCCGGACATATAAAAATGAATTTACTCTCCAAAATGTCCTTTTCAATGGAAAACAAGAATTTCTGTAAAGTGTCTGTATATCTAAGTATATATAGATCCCATGTATCCGTTTCCGTTGACATTTCCATTGGTATGTGTAAAAAAAATGACTTTAATCCATATTTTGGAATAAAGCATTGTAGAGCTTAGTTAAACGTTTTTAAAACAAAACTAATGAAGGGTCGATAATATCTTTTTATCACAAATACTAATTTACCTTCTATTATCTTGTATATAAGGTTCTAGCATCTTTTTACGTCTTGACAGAAATGAAATCTGTTTGTTTACATTTTTGATAATATTCACTCGAAATAACGTGATCACACTCGAAAAACCCGATCAAATCACTCGAAAAAACACGATTCCAGCCGGGCACTATACCTACTCTGAAATCATTCGTATACAGATACAACGATAGTTTATATTTTAAATCTATTACATGAAATCAAACAGACCTAGAAAAATCTTCATTACACAATTGCACGTGCTTGTGTGTCTATCTATATTTATGTTTGTGTTTTACGTTTTTTTTTAATATCAGGTCGTAAGACCGTCGACAGTCTTCGGAGTCATCTCGATGGTTAATTTGATGGCGTCCAATCTAAATTACTCACAACTTGCAGATACATGATTACGACTTCATGTATTGTTATTTGTTTCTTTTAGACTTTTCTTTAATTTGGAGTAACGTTTCACGCTGTTATAAACCAAAAAGGATTTCAAGTCAAAACGGTGATCATGAATTCGCGAGTAAATGCCCTTTAATCGATGTTTAACACTACTGTTGCCTGAATTTACTTGTTAGGTAGATGTAAATATTACTGAATAAATGACAGACACTTGTAGTTTTTCCATTTTCAAAACTATTTCATTTTGAATATCAAAACCAAGAAGGAATCACATGAACTCTAAACGGAGAGAGGCAGAGTTCGTTGACAGTGTAGGCGTCTCCTGCTTTGCATGTATCAGCTGTCTTACAAATAAATTCGCAGTATCCCAAAAAAGGATTCTTGCAATATTCTGGAATATTAATCGTTGAGCGTTGACCTATAATTAACGACAATCGCACCCTACGACCTTCTGAAGATCGAAACAAAAAACAAAAAAAAATTTTTAACAAGATATGCTAATTGAATGTAAAAAAAGTTCTCAACTAATATAACATGTATAAGTTCCGATTGAAAAAATTATTCCTATATCCTATAAAATTAGTAAGCTTGTTATTTAACCATTCATATGATTCAAGAATTTTCTTTACTTTACTATTTTCTGTTACACAATTTGTTTAATATTATTATCATAACTACCATTATCATCATCATTACTATTTGTGATAAAGAATCTGCAAAAATTAGTTAAGAACTTTTTTCTTTTACGTTCATCTCCATTTAGGAGGATTCGATCGCAAATCTTGACATTCTTACACATTCTATATTATGGAACTGCTGTATACATCTCGATCTTGTCCATTACAAAGGCAACATATTTTAATAAATAGTTCTTAAATAAAAAGTAAACCATGAGTTGTAATTTGCCTTGACATGAAATATTTTTTGTAAACAGAAATAAATTATATTGTATATATATAGTTGCCATACTCATATACACTTGTATAGACTCCATTCGTATAGTTGTAGCAAATGTCACGATGCGCATGATACGCCCTTATTGTGCATATTGAAATTGTTGCAAGAATAAAATGGGATATTTTGAAGGCTTATATTCATATGTTTGCGAATTACTTTTCCAACATCAATGTACAGTTTCTACTGAATCAATCAAAGCAAACTCAAGTTATTGTACCATATTTGAAAAAATGTACTAAAATCTGACTATCAAAGTCCCATAACTCTGGAATGACAAACCGGAAATAAAAAATAAAAACACAAGGGAGCTTCCTTTCATTAATCCCTACAATAATGTACAATTTGGAGGAAATCAGTTTAGGAATACTAGAGTTAGCGCACGATTTATTGAATTGCCTTAAATCTAAGGGTCAAAGTTCCGTGACTCTGGAATGACACATCCAAAAATAAAAAAAATAAATAAAAAGGGAGCTTTCTATCGTTAATTCTAATGTTAAAGTTATATGAGAATTTGATAAGCGAATTTGAGTTATCGTAATAAATGTGTACGGACGGACGGACGAACTGACTGACATTGGTATACCATAATCCGCCTTGTCTTCGACGACCGTATCAAAAAGACAGACAACGAAAAGACTAATAAAGTCACAAAATACTTCATAGAAAACTGAAGAGTGAGCATCACCTCTCTAACCTATTTCAGGGAAAACTTTTTTCCATGTACAATCGAAACCCAAAAACTGCTAGTTCATTAAATCAAACGGTCTCTCTTACTTAATATAGATTCTTTTAAGAGTTATAATATTTGAATTTACATCTATGTTATAACGTCATCGAACTTGATTTCTATATAAAACGAAATATTAACAATTGAAGCCAAATCAAGCTCTTATTGTCAACGGGACAAGCTATAAGAAACCTCTTTTGTATATAGTCCTGAGGATTGATTGGGTTATTTATTGAAACAAATAGACGGAGATGCAGTTACACGATTACTAACCTTTCTTGCAGAATTTCAATTGTCTTTAACACTATGTTAAACAGAAACTCCAACAAACAACGGATGTGTACTCGTGGGCTCAAAAATGGTGAGCATTTTGCCATCTTTTTACCAATGAAAAAATCCCAATCCATCCTCGATGTATCTTGTCTAGCTAAAAGACAATACCAAATTTCTAATCTATTAGTCATGTTAGTTATCTACCCCAAATAAGTAGTCGAATGTAAAAGGTCAAAACAATGATAATGCATAAATCAAATTACGAAACACAGTTCATATATATATTGATAGATTATCGGTGGAATTTCAAACGAGGTGGTATTTCTCAGCTACATTCTCCTCAAAGGGCGACAGCTCTAAACTGAGATGTAGCCGGGAAACATCCTCGAGTTTGAAAGATCATTGATATTCTGTTTATCGCTGCTTTCCTATGCAACGTCAACCACGTAGGATTATGACGTCATAAATTCTCGTCTGAGAAAACCCAATATCAATTGAGTAGTGTGATATGAAAAATTATCACAAAAAAGATAAAAGCAAAAGTTTTAAGACTGTTTCTGAACAAGATTTAGGGAAATGCATTCATATTGGAGCACTATATTCATTTCCAAATTCCATTTTTTAAATTACCTGTAACTTAAACCATTGTGGTGACGTCAGCCTATTCATTTACCGTGGATTCTTTTTCTAGAATCAACGCTTCCTAAATCTGCCGCTGAAATTGACTCACCAAATTATATTCAATTGTTTCCTTTGTGTGCCTAATTTCATTAAGTTTGAATAGGCTAATTTACTGATTTCTGTTCACTAATGGAATTAATTTAAAAACTTACCTTTAATTTTTGTAATTTTTAGATGTCTTCACTGGGAATCGAACCCTTCCTTGAAATCTGTTATGTGTGACTGACATCATCACACCGACGAAACCTCTCGGCTACCAATGGGTTACACTATAGATGTTTATTATATATATTTAAATGAACATCTGATATACATCGGTTCATCGGACACACAGGGCTTAATTGTACCTTTATATAGACACAATAGGCAGTCGTATAGTATGAGTTGGTAGCCGCGAGGTTAGCATGGTTAAAATCAATGAGTTAAAGATCGGGATTTGTCGGTTTAGGTTCGAATCCCTGTATTCTCTTTGTTGTACCAATTCTTAAGTTATCCTAGTTTTTTTTCTAATTTTGCAAGTTATA